GTTAATTAAAAAGAAACATCAAAGCTGCATTGTTAACTTGTTATTAAATTATTGCCTGCAGGCATAGCTTGGCTAACAATGATGAAATTTCAGTGGAATTCAGAATTCACTTACTATACACACTCTATATATAGATCCATGCTATGCTGGAAACCCAACAGAAGGAAAAAACATGTATTATTCAGAAAAGTTCTGGATGAGGAGCCATGCACATTGAAATGTAGACTGGCATTACAGTTAAAAAAAAAAAAAAAAAAAAAGTTTGCAACCAGTAAACTTGAAACACCCAATATGTATGCTGGTCCTTATTCTATGATGTACAAAGGAGGAAGATGACAGCTTGGAAAAAAAAGTTGTCAATTATAGTACCTATATGTCTGTGATAGGTTATATGCTGTTATATAATATAAACTCAGTGTGAGTGAAGCCATTTTTATATTTTTATAGTAAATATTCCAAATCAGGAACCCCTGTAATGCTGCCATAAACAGGTTAATCCTGGGTCACTCTAAAACAGAAAGGCAGTCTTCTACTGTAGTAAATAAAATGACCACTAACAATCAAAAGGGGGACATATTAAAGGATAAGTTCACCTTAATATTTTTTGTGGGTAAAAAAAATTTGCATTTTTTGGCTCCTGCAGACTCTCTGCCCATACCTCATACAGGCAGGCAGTTACTTGAGAGTAGGAAGAACCAATGGACTATGAGAGCACTCACCAGCATCCTTGCAGTTTATTGAGAAATTCAAGGCGTCAGCCGCAGCGGCTGATGGTACTTGTAGACTTTCAATCACAGGAAACTGTGAATGAATGATGCAGCTGTTTCAAATTGTGACAAGGGGCGAGTAGGAAGAACTAAAGGACTATGAGAGCACTCACACCAGCACCCTCGCAGTTCATTGAGAACTACACGCCATCAACCACAACTGCTGAGGGTACTTGTAGGCATTCATCCACAGGAAACAGGGCCCACATAACAGGGTGACAGGGTATGCGGGGTGAAGATCCCCTGCCAGCTGGGGGGGAGAAGAGGAAGGGGGGAGAGAGAGAGAGGAAGGGGGGAGAGAGAGAGGAAGGGGGGAGAGAAGAGGAAGGGGGGAGAGAAGAGGAAGGGGGCGAGAGAAGAGGAAGGGGGCGAGAGAAGAGGAAGGGGGCGAGAGAAGAGGAAGGGGGCGAGAGAAGAGGAAGGGGGCGAGAGAAGAGGAAGGGGGCGAGAGAAGAGGAAGGGGGCGAGAGAAGAGGAAGGGGGGAGAGAAGAGAGGAAGGGGCGAGAGAAGAGGAAGGGGCGAGAGAAGAGGAGGAAGGGGCGAGAGAAGAGGAAGGGGCGAGAGAAGAGGAAGGGGCGAGAGAAGAGGAAGGGGCGAGAGAAGAGGAAGGGGGGAGAGAAGAGGAGGGGGAGAGAGAAGAGGAAAGGGGGAGAGAAGAGGAAAGGGGGAGAGAAGAGGAAGGGGGGAGAGAAGAGGAAGGGGGGAGAGAAGAGGAAGGGGGGGGGAGAGAGGAGAGAGAAGAGGAAGGGGGGAGAAAAGAGGAAGGGGGGAGAGAAGAGGAAGGGGGGAGAGAAGAGGAAGGGGGGAGAGAGAGAAAAGGAAGGGGGGAGAGAAGAGGAAGGGGGGAGAGAAGAGGAAGGGGGGAAAGAAGAGGAAGGGGGGAGAGAAGAGGAGGGGGGGGGGTTTAGAGAAGAGGAGGGGGGGTTGCAGCAGCATCTGTTGGAACATAAAAACTGGCGGAACATGTAATATGTTTCAAAAGGTGTACTTATCCTTTAAAATAGAATTCAGTAACCAGGCACTCATCTAGCAGGAACCACAGAAAAAATTCAGTGACGAACGTAAATTGTTTAGAAGCATTGGCAATCTGCCTTATGGGATGGGATCAGTTTTGAACACTGAGCCTGGGTTCACACTGATACAGTACGGAATTTGCAGCGTTTTCTGTGCGAATTCTGCACCGCATCAGAATTGCACCCTGTTCATGCGAACCGCTGCGGGTGTGTATGTTAAGTTAACACCACCCCGAAATCGGTTCGCAAAGCCGATGTGCAGAATCGGATTGCATAGGTGTGAATAACCATGCGATCCGATTCTAGTGCAGACCCAAAAAAGGGTCCTGCACCTTTTTGGTGCGGGTGCGGGTGCGGTGAGATTAGAGCCATACAAAAACGTATAGCTCCAATCGCACCACACACAATTCGCATTGTGATTTGCACAGGAATGCGGTGCGGTTTCTGTGCGATTCACATGCGATGTACCGAGCTGCATTTATGTGAACCCGGGCTAAAACATCAAAGAGACCGTCTCCAACATAGAAAAATACAAAGCACAAAAAAATAAATTATTGTAAATGTTTGCTTGCAGTGTTTTTCCTTTTGATAAATTGTGCTTATTCATTTGCAATGTGCCACTGAACGTGGTAGAAAATTTTATAACTTTAGAAATAATTCCCTAGCATAGAACATCATAGCCCTCTCCTCTTCTAGGAGTGTTTATTTACTCTCTGTGCTTGCCAGGCTATTCCACTCTCACCTCCATATATACAGTTGTGTTCAAAATAATAGCAGTGTGTTGAAAAAAGTGAATAGAGCTTAAAATCCTTCTAATAGCTTTTATTTCCATACACACAAATGCATTGGGGACACTACACATTCTATTCCAAATCAAAACATGAAGAAAAATATATCATATTTGTGTTGTTCCTCTAACAAAATGGAAGAAAAGTGAATATTAGACTGTTCAAAAAAATAGCAGTGTTTGTATTCTTCTTTACAAACTCAAACATTCACTATATAAACTGAAAAATGTTTGAAGATTTTGCTTTCCTTTGAATCACTTAATATTTAGTTGTATAAGCACTGTTTCTGAGAACTGCTGTACATCTGTGTTGCATGGAGTCAACCAACTTCTGGCACCTGTGAACAGGTATTCCAGCCCAGGATGATTGGATGACATTCCACAGTTCTTCTCTATTTCTTGGTTTTGCCTCAGAAACTGCATTTTTGATGTCACCCCACAAGTTTTCTATTGGATTAAGATCCGGGGATTGGGCTGGCCACTCCATAACGCCAATCTTGTTGGTCTGGAACCAAGATGTTGCACGTTTACTGGTGTGTTTGGGATTGTTGTCTTGTTGGAACACTCTTTTCAAGGGCATTTCCTCTTCAGCATAAGGTAGCATGACCTCTTCAAGTATTCTGATGTATTCAACCTGATCCATGATCCCTAGTATGCGATAAATAGGCCCAACACCGTAGTATGAGAAACATCCCCATATCATGATGCTTGCGCAACCATGCTTCACTGTCTTCAAAGTGTACTGTGGCTTGAATTCAGTGTTTGGGGGTCGTCTGACAAACTGTCTCCGGTCACTAGACCCAAAAAGAACAATCTTACTTTCATCAGTCCACAAAATGTTGCTCTTTAGGCCAGTCAATGTGTTCTTTAGCAAATTTTAACCTCTTCAGCACGTCTTTTTTTCAACAGTGGGCCTTTGCGGGGGCTTCTTGTAGATAGCTTGGCTTCACATAGGCGTCTTCTAAATGTAACAGTACTCACGGGTAACTTTAGACCTTTGATCTTCCTGGAGCGGATTGTTGGCTGAGTCCTTGCCATTTTGGCTATTCTTCTATCCATTCGAATTGGTAGTTTTTCGCTTTCTTCCACGTCTTTCAGGTTTTGGCTGCCATTTTAAAACATTTGCGATCATTTTAGCTGAGCAGCCTATCATTTTCTGCACTTCTTTATATGTTTTCCCCTCTCCAATCAACTTTTTAATCAAGGTACGCTGTTCTTCTGAACAATGTCTGGAACTACCCATTTTCCTCTGAATTTCAGAGAGAAATGCACTGTAACCAGCATGTACAACATTTGCTTCCTTCCTTCCTTAAATAAGGGCAATAATTGCCACCTATTTTTCAAAGAATGAATGACCTCACTAATAGAACTCCACACTGCTATTATTTTGAACATGACCCTTTCAATTCGTGATTCAATTACACAGAATCAGCAGCATGCATGTCATGACTGTTGGGTCTGTTGGATTTCTATTACTCTACTACACCTGCTAGTAAATTATTTGCCATGTAGAAATATCATTTCTACCAAAAACAGTGACTGATCAGGTTAGTGATGTCTGACTGCTATTATTTTGAACACAACTGTACCTGTTTATGTAACTACTGGTGGAAGAGCGAAGAGGAATACTATAGTGACAGTTCTGAGTCTGCTGGCCTGCTGATATCACATCCAAGATGGCAGCAGCAGTCTCATGGCTTTTGGATGACTAAACAGGGGAGTCCTTTACCAGTAAATACTACTCCTAAAATACATTAAATGCAATTATAATCTTACAGTGCAAATATAATCTTACAGGATTTTTTTTTTTGTAATGCAAGCAATGGTCTTGCAACAGGGTCTTTTTAAAAACAGCAGATCGGTCAAACCAATAAATGATAAATTGCAGGTTTGTTTCTCTGGGCTACAGCACTTTGCACAAGGTTTTGACTCACACAGGATTTCATCATTCTTCAGTTTAAATGCTCTCAAACATAACTTTGAAAGGCTCTGATGCCAACATGAAGATTTTAGCTTTCAATGGTAATGTCAATTTGTGGGTAGTTTTTGGGGTCCCATTTAAAAACATATAGCAAGATGTTGCAGTCTAGTGCTTTGAAAGCAGAAGCCACACTGACCTATCCTATGAGGACACGCTTTCTCGACTCTGACTTCCTTCAAGCGCGCCAAAATTCCCCCCTGCATTGGGATTTGTCTTAGGTGGGATGTGTGGGAGTGCCCACCAGACAGTAATTACTATTCTAAAAGTAAAGTGTAATGGTGAGAGAAACATAGTCGCTGCCAGTGCTGACTTCCTGCTTGCTACTTGCCTGCCATTATATACAAACAACAAAGCTGGTCCGGTCACCTCAAGTGATAAATGAGAAGCAGCACCTGGCAGTGAAAAGGATAAAGCGGTCTACAGCAATTTCATTCATAACTGCAATACACACCTTGATAGTCACTTTAACAGAGGTCATAACCAGATGTGTACAGTTCTCTGTCCAGTTGTTCACAATATGGCCTCCAAGTAACTGCAGTGCTTGGTTTAAAGAACTCTTCTCTGAGATGCTTAAACAGGATGAACAAGTCACCAAAGGTTCATATACCACTCTGGATGAGAGGGGAAAAAAAAAAATGAGAGAATTACATGAAATGACATCAATTCTGAAGACAAGTCATGGATAGATCAACTACACAAATTGCTTTATTGATAAACAGAACACTACAAAGAGAGTGGATCCTCCTTCTTGCTGACCCCGAAGCGATCTGTACAATTTAATATCAGAGGTCTCCCTTAAGTAAGTAGGAGGTATTGAATGCATTACTGCCATACTGCTTCAGTTAAGTATTACTGAGATGTAAGAGATGTACAGTAGATGAGACCACTGAAACTCTGCAGGTAGTCTATTCCTCCTGGGAAGTTATACTCACAAATTAGCTCTCTTCGCTCCATCAAAGCCCTTTGTCTAATGGAGCAAGGCTTCCAGTTATGATGGAGCATTTGATCTTCCCATGTGACAGTGCGTTGACTAGAGGGAAATCGCCAGTCCTGAACACTGTCACATGAGAAGAAGCAGCGACAACCTCCACCTGAGTAAGCTCCAAGGTAGACTCATATAGCAGAAACACAGTGAAGGTGTGTAGCTCAATAAACAGCTTTCTATGAGGACTACGGGCAGAAATTCTCAAGTTACTCTGAAAGGGCTAAATGACAGTGTCTCTTTAAATAAATCTTTAATTTAAGTCATTATTCTCAACAATGCTGAAAAAAAGACATTTCGATACATAACATAAAACCTATAAACAAAACTTGCTGAAAGAAACCATTGCTGAAAATGCTACTTTCCTGGCTGTCATGCTGATTCTCTGGCGTTAGTACTTCTATTTTCATTTGTTGCATGCTGGTTCTGAATCAGAAGTTTAAAAATATTGATGTCAGAGATATCCAGATAACCTGCATTTTCAAGAGCATATCAGCAACTGTAGCCTACATATTTATTTCAGGATGGGTTTACTTTGTTTTTGGTAGGCCCTACTTTGAAGTGACATACAAAGTTAATAATGACTTACCTGAACTTGCTATTGTATACCCCAAATGTAATCTTATCTCCTGATTTCAAATTCCTGGATGTAGCACTCTCCATCTTTTCACCATTAACAAAGGTACCATACTTTGAAGACTCTTTAACAGACAGGACAGGAATGATATCTGGATGGCCCTGTATACCAAAAAAAAAAAAGTTAGAGAAGAACTCCAGCCAAAAAAAAAAACAAAATACAAAATGAATAGCCCATTAAAAGATACAATAATAAAAACAGCTTTTCATGCAAAATGCAAATCCAGAGCTTTACCCTGCAGTATTTTTTCTGTCGCTAGAAATCCTCAATTTGACATCCAGCATAATTCAACCCACATCTCTCTGTCACCCTACACTCTCCTTCTATCAGCATGCTTTACTTCAGCACATAACTGACTAGCTACTTGTACTGGTTTTTGCGAAGACTGCAAAGGTTGATATCAGGTCAAATTCTGGGGCTTACATTGCTCACATTTTATGATGTATGAATGATGACAGAGCTGCATTAATCTGTCTTTTTATGATGCTAAAGAGATTTTAATAGGGAAATTTCCCTCTTAGGCACATACAACCAGCTAAACCAACATGAACTGAGAAGGAAATAAGTGGCTGTAGTACAGATTTAAAGCAGAATTAAACTCCACTACTTTTTTTTTTTTTTTTTTAAAATGAGCCTCTGGGAGCTTTCTGCCATAATGTACTACTGTGCACCGCATATTAGCACATTATGGCAGATTTACAATGATCTCTACTGTCATGGTCAGGTTCATGCTTTCCAACCATCTGAATGGCCGCCGCCATGATGACATCACTCTCATATATCCACACAGGTGTCACATCCACTGACACGCAGGGAGATGCATTTATGACAGCATTGTTTTTGGAGTTCAATTCAATATTTGCTGCAAAACCATCACAGAGCAGGTAAGTATAACGTTTATTATTTTTTTTTAAACTCAAAGGTTTACAATTACTTTGAGGGCTCTGTGAAGGGAAGATCAGCATCAGAACCCAGAAAAGCTGGAGGCTGATTGACTGAAGGTAATATAAGGCATTACAATTACATTTAAAGTAAAAGCTTACCAGTATTGTGCATTATATTTAAAATGAGTATATCCCATGAAAAAAAAGTCTTAGCCTTTAGTGCTGCTTCAATATAAAAATATTTATATCACCCCTCCACCTTTCATATAGCTTCATGTCTGACTCCAGTTAAAGTACGCTGTATATCCTACTTCTGAGCATATGATCTATCTATGATAATATATATATTCACTGTTTCATGGTATAGACTAAGCCCTTATAGTAGTGATTATCTGCTCTTCTTGTACTATAAAGGGCTCATTTTTGTTTTTTAACCCCATCATGACAGCATGCTGCTGTTGCATGCTCGCCATACATGTATCAATTTTCATACGAGAATATTTGCATGAATATTCGTATGAAAAATCTTTGCACATTCGGTGAATGGACTAACATTGTTCGAAAATGTCACTTGCTTCTACCATTCAATTTTAGAATGAATGTTTATTGTGAATGAAAACCACATACACTGTCTGAAAATTCATTTGATTAAGAAACGTTTTCTATTCTGCACCTTCAAATTTTTCCGTCACTGTGGTAGAAAATGAACATCGATTTGACCCCAATAATGATTAGAAAATTGAATGAACGGTCTTAAAATTTAAATTTTCATAGGAAAAATTGATTTGTGTATGGCCAGTACAAGGGACAGCAGGTGTAGGTAGCTTGAATCCAGCCACCTGCCTAGGACAAGGGACTCTGTCATGCATAATAATATATTACAATTATGTCTTAAAATCTGCAAAACAGTGTTTTTAGGTCTTTTTAATTTGTTTTTTCTTCATAAAAATTTTGACCTCTGAGTTTGATGTACCTCTAATAGAATGTCTATCTCTTCTGTCTGTTATTCTCAGAGTGGATTAAATATTTTGTTCCTTAACCATATAGCTGTTTATATTGACCACTAGGGGCAGACTGACCATTCGAGCACTCAGGCATTGCCCGAGGGCCCGGGGTCAGTAGGGGGCCCCATGAGATACCCCTGGTACCTTTTATAGGCTTTTTTGGAGGTGGTTTGAGTGTGGGCAAGGACACAGGGGCCCCATGATCGCCTATTGCCCGGGGGCCCCATGAGTTTTCAGTCCGCCCCTGTTGACCACTGCATAGATATATTCAAGAATTTGCTTTTTTTTAAATTTACATATTGACTAAATTATATTCCAAACTTTTGAGGTTTTTATTTGATTATTCGACTAATAGGTGAACTAATCGATTATGAAAATAATTGTTAGTTGCAGCTTAAGGTCTAACACTGATTTGTTAGTGTTCTTTCCTCCTTAGAACTCACCAGACTGGAGAGGGGTGGTTGACAGAGAACGTTGCATGAGATCTGCTGATAGATTGATCATCTTCGATTAATATTGAACAGTTCTTACGTCCCACTACATAATCAGTACCACTGAGAAAGTGATAAAGCTGTCCTGGGGAGGAGAAGACAACGGATTACAGTCAAAATGTAAAATACTGGGCTTTACAACAACGTGTACCAATCTAGTATTATTTATTACAGGTATTTATAAGATATATTGTACATTCACTTCTGTCTCTGCCCTCACAGATCTTAGGCCCCATGTAACGGGACACTTCTGAATGATGGAAACCGACAGCTGGAAAACGTAGGTTAAAAAAAGTCTGTTTAGCCATGTTTGCATAAGGTGTTTATGCACGTTTATGTGCGTTTGCGTATAGAAGCATTTTTTAAAGATAAGCACAAGAGAACCTCCCAAATGCCCAGAATGCACTGAAAATTGGCAAATTATTAACTATTTCAGACTGTTTCAGAGAAATACAGAGAGTAGAAGCAGAGAAAGCAGCATGTGTTGAGATTAGCTTGGTGTGAGTTGCTTATTAACATTTCTTTTGTTTCCAAGGGTGGGAAGGTGTCTGGTGGAGGGAGTCATTAAGGTCACCTGGCAGGGGGTCTTCATGAGAAATTTGAAGTGTGAATGATCAATAACATATTTTTTGTTTCCAAGGGTGGGAGAGGTCTTAGATGTGAATTGATTATTACAATGTGTGACAAGCTTGATAAGAACATCCTGTGTTCAGTGTATTGTCCATCTGAGTACCTTGAAAACGCTTTGCATGCATTTTTCATGATGAAAAAAGGCTCTGGACAACATCGGGAACTGGAAGAGTTAAAAAAAAATTTCAAAACGCAAATGCTTATAAACGCGTTGTGCCACGTTTACAAGAGTTTTGCGTTTGAAACGCTGATAAAATCGACTGCTGAGCACAAGTTTTCTGTGTTCAAAAAAAAAACGACTGTAAACTCAAATGCCTGTAAACGAAGATGTGTACATGGACACATAGGAGAACATTAGGGAGAGTTCAGGGGCTGCTGAAAAAAAACGCTGAACAGCTCCTAAACGCAGCTGCAGTGTACATGAGCCCTTACAATCTAAGGTTCCCCATCTCACATGCATACATATATACACACATGCCAGTGTCAATCTGGAAATGAGCCAGTTAACAGCATATCTTTGGAGTACTGCCTGCATTGCACTACAGTCTGAACTGAAAAATGACACTAGATGAAATTTTTTTTAATGTAATTGGTTGCTCTGGGGTGATTCAATTGGTTTCTATTTGATAATCTGCTTTTTACTGACATTTATGGGAGCTGTTCAAAACAACAAAATCCTCTAGTAAACAGTAAAGGTGACAGAAAGGGGCTTTAACGGGGATGGCAGAACTGACAGACCAATGATGTCTCCCCCTTCCTAATGAAGCGATAGGTTGATCGATTTGGTTTAGCCCACATAATTCCTTTACGGAGAGGCAGACTCATCAGTCGTATATAAAGAAAGAAACAGACATTCAATATACATCTGCCTTCAAGTTGATTCTAAAAACAGCAGCCATTACTCTACAGGCTGTCTAAAGATATAATAGCATTAAGGAAGATTACCAGCAAAGTACCACTTACACTTAAACTGGCTGACAGATCATAATGTCTGACAACGCCAATACAGATAATCTAAGGAACAGACGGGCTGAAAACTGTCTGCTAAGGGAAAACTTCATGAGAGGAGCATAAAGGCTGCCAAGGCAGACTTTCTTCTATTGGCCTGGCTGTAATGCTGCCCATCCTTACTTCAATGCTTTAACCACTTGCCGTCCGCCTACTGTTTATAAACGGCAGGACGGTGGCACTCCAGGGGCGGGTTGCAGTTCATAAACGGCACCCACATTCTCTAGCTTTGCACGCTCCCTCGGAGCGCGCAGCACTGCGATCCGGACACAGTGGAACACCGATCGTTGGACAGGACCTCTGTGCGAAGTCCCGATCATGCGATCACTTGTTGGCCAATCAGTGATTACATGCAGAGTAGTAAGCAAGATTTCACTTGTGACATCATTGCTTACTACGTGTGAAATCTGTGAATGATCACAGAGGTCACATGGTATAAGGCTATTCACAACAGCCTTGTACCATGTGACAAGCTGTGACCAATCACAGCTCACACAGTAGTTCTCAATGGCTGCAAGAATGCAGCTAGAGAGAAGGAGAAATGATTGCTTTTATAAATAAAAAAGACATAAATAATAGTATAAAACAATAAAAAAAAGTTTAAAAATTATAAACTAATTTGGGTTATTTTTTTTTTTTTTACTAAAAAGATAACAGAATAAATTTTAGCCAAGATTTATGATGAAATACTATTTGCAAAATTTTATAAGAAAAACATTTTTTTTCAAAATGTTTGGACTTTTTCATTTACATAGCAAAAAAATAAAAATCCCACCAAAATAAAGCGTTATCTGTCTCAAAAAACAATGCTAAAAAATTCATATGGGTACAGTGTTGCATGACCGCGCAATTGTCATTCAAAGTGTGATAGTGCTGAAAGCTGAAAATTGGCCTGGGCGGGAAGGGGGTGAAAGTGTCCGACTTGAAGTGGTTAAAGTACAACTAAAGGCAAAACTTTTTTTTTGTGGAGAGGGGGTAGGTCACCTGTCAGTTTTTACTGCTGTCTGTGTCCCCAAACTGCTTTTACACTGCTCAGTTGCAAAAGCATGTTAAAAACACATGCATTGTTGCTGCATTTTCTGGTTGCGAGACATCAAAATGCACTTGTGAAACATGGACATGTGACTGAAAAACAACAAAACAAAAAACAAATCCAACCGTGGGTAAATTTTTGATGCATTTTTCATGCATTTCAATGGGTGGGTGTGTTTTTGATGCGGCTTTAAACATGCACCAAAAATGCAACAAGGAGGACTTTTAAAAACGCAACTGACCAGTGTGAAGAGTGCTATAGGACTTGAAGGTATGCATTTTTCTTCTGCTTTTTTTAACTGAAAAACTGATCAAAAATGAATCAGTGTGAAAGTGTTCTCAGGGAGATTCACCCTCTCTATCTTTCCTGTTTAACATTATCATTGAAAGTGAAAGTAAAAGAAAACCCCACATTTTGTGTTGTTCCCAGAAAAGTAATAGGAGGGGAAACATTCAAATGGAAATACCAGTTCTGGTGACCTGGGGAAGGGGGGGGGGGGGGGGGGGGGTCAAGAGATTCCCATCGTTTTCAGGGATTTCCTCTCACTTCCTGTTTTGGTTATGGGACAGGACGTGAAGGGAAATCTCAATGGGACAAAAAAAATAAATAAATAAGAAAACCGACAGGGGTTATAACCCTGCCTTGCTCTATCCAACATAAAAAAAAAATGTTTTGCCTATATTTCTTCTTTAAGGTTCCATGCAGTGGGCTTAACCTCTTCGCCGGCTGCACGCAATTGTGCGGCCTCCCGGTGTCTGGGCCTTAGCGCCGAGCGACCGCACATTTGCGTGAAATTAAGAAAAACACTTGCTGAGAGCGCAAGCCCTGCGCGCTCCCAGCACACATATCCGGAACTCACTGAAAGGTCCCGATCTCCTCTTTCCATCTGGACCTTTCCCGATCATGTAAAGGTGAATCATGGCGGTCACATGACCCTAAAACCCCGCCCCACCTCCCGGCTTCTGAAACCCTTAAAGTGCCAGGAGGCGCCGGCGCCAAGGGGTTAAAAAAAAACACCAGTTCCCCCAGCAGAAAACAAAATGCTGATATAGAGCTTTTTTGCACACAATGTAGGCACGTTTAGCATTTTTTCTACCAGAAAGCTCCAATCAAAATGTTCCTGCCTCTAAACGTTGAGCCTAAAATACGCCTTTAATCGTCCTAATGTGCATGGCCCCATAGGAGAACACTGAGCTAGCTGCTGCTACAGCAAAACACAACACTCCTGTTTTTCTGCTCCTAGAAGCTAACTAGTGTTATCCTACAGTGCCTTGAAAAAGTATTCATACCCCTTACAATTTTCCACATTTTGTCATGTTACAACCAAAAAAAAACGTAAATGTCTTTTATTGGGATTTTATGTGATAGACCAACACAAATTGGCACATAATTGTGAAGTGGAAAGAAAATGATAAATGGTTTCCAAAATATTTTTACAAATAAATATCTGAAAATCTTGGTGTGCATTTGTATTCAGTCCCCTTTATTCTGATACCCCTAACTAAAATCTAGTGGAACCAATTACATTCAGAAGTCACCTAATTAGTAAATAGAGTCCACATGTGTGTAATTTAATCTCAGTATAAATACAGCTGTTCTATGAAGCCCTCAGATGTTTGTTAGAGAACATTAGTGAACAAACAGCATCATGAAGGCCAATGAACACACCAGACAGGTAAGGGATAAAGTTGTGGAGAAGTTTAAAGCAGGGTTAGGTTATAAAAAAATATCCCAAGCTTTGAACATCTCACGGACGGAGGACTGTTCAATCCATCATCCAAAACTTGAAAGAGTATGGCACAACTAGGGAGGTGCCGCTAATTACTGTGTACACAGCGCATGGCCTTTATGGACGGCTGGCGGCCATCTTGGATTTTTATGTAAGTGTGATTCATCTTATATACTCTATTTTTGACTAATAAAGAATACTACACCATTGGAGGCTTTTTTCTTGGGCTCGTTCTTTCTTGTGAGCCCCCCCTCTTTGAAGGTGATTCCTGTTGACCTAACGCATGGTATTGTACATGATCCCCCTGGTGGCTGTTATCGGCATCTCTGGAGGCTGGTTACCTTATCCGGATGTATGACACCTGGTGGTTGCTGCCCTGATTACTTCAACCGTCTGCAGTGTTCCAGATCCAGAGAACCAGGAGTAGGTCTTATATACTCCATGCGCAAGCAATTGTGTTATCTGGTTAGTGCAATCTATGTCCATTTCCATTATCACAGGAGTCACGGATATTATTCATCACAAGTTTATTGACTTTATCACACTTGTCACTTATATACATCCCACCTCATTGGGATGCAGTACCTTATATGTCATTCAAGACTTTGGTTTATGTGATTGCTATTTTAGGTTTTATCAGCACTGCATATTTTGTACACACACCCTGTATGGCACAAGTGCAAAC